ATTTCCTTCTCAATAAATGCCTGTTAAATGAATAAATGATGCCTGTAATTATTTCACTAATAATCCATTGCTGCATAAAGGTGTGCTCTTAAGTAATGATTCTGAAAATGCAACAATTTCCAAGAGGCTAAGAAATTCTCAAAGTGCAAGAATTGCTAAGAGGCTAATTTCTAAGAATTTCTAACTCCTCTAATATCTTTATCAGAGACAGAAACCATTACAGAGAAACCCAGCCTCAGTGGCTGTATGAAGTGTCTGATTAAGGATAGTGAAAGGCCAGAAGAGTAAGCTGAAATTCACATATTGGATGCCTCACATCTCCTGGGACTACTGCTGCCTGACCATGCAGCTAGGAGCTAGAAACCTAGGGCTGACTTCAGGTTCCTTCAAGTTTTTTATGTTGTAAAGCTCCCACAGAGATTGGCCCTTAGTGGAACAAGTCCCCTATCCTTCCTGCTGATAATCTGCTGGGCTAGACATCATCAGAGGCAAGGACTCTTGGAGTCTCCAGCAACATTCCACCTGCGTGCAGTGATACCTTCAGGCACTCTCTTCTATGCACTCCTTCACGAGTGACGTCCCCCGTCATGGCTGGCAGCTTCTGTAGAAAGCTGACCTTAAGCCACTGATGGACAAAGCCACCTTTGTGTAAACAAAGGCAGCAAGAGTGTCCATCAGGCAATGAATTCATAAGACGCAGTTTATCCTTACAATGGAATATTATTCAGCAATTAAAAATGAGGTATCAATCCATGCTACAAAGTGGATGAACCTGGAAAACGTTATGCTAAAGTGGAAGGAGCCAGTCACAAAAAAATAAGTATCATATGATTCCATTTATACATAATCTCCCGAATAGACAAATCCATAGGGACAGAACTAAGTAAAGACAAAACACAAAATAGTCTTAGTGGTTGCCTAGGGCTGGGAGAGCTGGGGAGGGAATAGTGAATGATGGCTATTAGGTACAGAGTTTCTTTTGGGGGTGATGAAAATACTCTCAAATTGATTGTGATGATATTTGTGCAACGTTGTAAATACATGAAAACCTACTGAAGTGTACATTTTAATAGTGTGAATGTTACAGTATGTGACTTATATCTCAAAGAAGTTATAAAAAAAAAAAAAAGCAAGCACAAAGAGACAAAAGAGATGCAGTAACATTAAAGTCAGAATCATGAGGTTGCCAGGCACCCATTGCAACCAGAGAGCGTTTGGAAAGTTCTCCTCCACCAGAGGGGTGTATGGGACCATGTTTTGAAGTTGCCCGCCTTAAATCACCCATAAGCTGATGCTATCAATAACTTCCTGTGATGCTTTTTTCTCTTCTGGATGTGCATACCATTTTTTTCACCGTTTCCTTTTCCTCAGCCTTTGTGAGACTAAGTTCACAATGCTTCCCAGGCTAAAAATAGATAAAGTCCAGCACATAGTGTTATATTTTTAGGTAAAATTATAAATTAAGATGTAAAATGTATTTATTATATCTGTCTCTTTACACATTTTTGCTACAAGCAGTTCTGTAGAGCTCGTACTCAGTATTTACAATGGGAGAGAAGAATGTTCAAACCAGTAGTAATGTTTACAAATTTGGCATGATTCCATCAATGACTCCTTGTGTCAAAGTTGCCACCTTTTTTTTTTAATCTGTTGAGGGCTGTATTACCTCTCACATGGACCATTAAAGCAAAGCAGCCTAACTGACTTTCTTCCACCATCTCCCACGATCCTGACAGTTACCTTCCTAAAATGCAAATACAAGGCAGTGCAGTCCAGAGAATAAGAGCTTGGTTCCCAGCCTCAAATTGCTTAGATTCGAGTCTGAGCATCACCACCAATCAACTTGGTCCATTTAGGCAAGTTACCTAATCTTTCAGTTCACCATTTTTCTCAAAACTTTGTGAAAATTGTAAGAACAAGATGTTAATCCCTTAGTCCAATGACAGACTCATCATAAGCAGCTCTTATTATTACACATATGTTCAAATGCTGCCATGCTTCTGCATGCCTGTATAATCCACTCCACACTCCCTAGCCTACATGCAAGAACCTTTGAAATCTCAGCTGTTTCTCTTCTTCCAGTTCGCAACCTTTTCTTTTCCTTTTTTTTTTTTTTTTTTTTTTTTTTTTTT